AACATAAAGAAGAGGAGAAGAATGGATAGACTTCAAAATTAAAAAAATAATATTAAAAATAATAACTTTAATCTATGAGATCTTAGATCCATAAACTTATTATTTTTTTCTTGATTGCTAAATTATTAGATTAGCCCTTTATTTATAAAGGGATAAATCTAACACTTTGACTTTGATTTTAATAGGAATTTCTATATTATCTAAGATTTTAAAACTATGATCCTAAATCCTAAGCTTAATTTAATGTTATAGTATTATTTATATACAAGGATGAGTGACGAGGAGAATATTTTCTATTCGAGAAAAAAAAATATTTATCAAAGAAAATATTATTGGGATTGATAAATATTTTAGAATATTTGAGTAAGTATCCAATGAGATAAAGAATCATAATATAAGGAGTTCTCGTAAAAAAAAAAACCTTGACAATTAGGGTTTGATTCTTTTATAAATATCTCAGTATCTTTAAGTTTTAACGAGAAAAAAAGTAAAATATAAAAAATACTTTTGGTGTATTTGAGTTTTTATCCAAATGATAATTTTTATTACTCTAAAGAGGCTGAGAGAAGATGATGTAAATTCTTCGAAATTTTTTAGAGGGTGTACAAAAAAATTATACTTGAGTGAGGATAACTAACTCAAGATCTTATAATTAATTTTACGTAGTGAATAATTTGATCTTTATCTATGAATATAGGTAAGATTTATTAAATCATATTAAATCTTATGTTAAATTTTTTAAAAATATATATTAATATTAATATTTTTAATTTTAAAAGTATCCTCTTTCACCCCAACGATAATACATATGGTTGAAAAGGTAACAAAGACATATAATAATACTATATTCAATAATTTGATGCTCATGTGTTCATTTTTAGACGAATCAAAGATGACTTATTTTTTAAAACATATATGTAACACATAATATATTAATTATATAAAAATTAATGATAATAAAACTTGGTTGGATCTACCAATACAAATGATAGATTGACCGATTGAAGAACCAATACCTTTAATAAATTAATAATTAATTTTTCTTTTAATTATTTATTTATTTTTGACTTCTAAAGTATTATATTATTCCTCTCTATAGTTAAACCTAACACTTTGAATTTTTTACCATAACAAGAATTCCTATCTCAAGAATAAATTTTAAACAACTATCATATCTAATTATAAAATTTAATATAATATTTTTGCTCATATTAGACGCACATTTAACACGCACGTCTATCATTAAAAGCACATATAGGTGAGGCACATGACCTATTATGATCACATCCAATAGGCTCCGATTCAATAATTTCTATCTTATTTGATTTTATTTCTATTCAATGAATCAAATTCCATCGATGACTTGTTTTTCTAAACATATATATGACGCAAATTACATTTATTATCTCAAAATTAATAGTAAAAGAAATTAGATTGGACCTACTAATACAAATAATGCATTAGTCCATAAGAGGACCTCCAACTTTGAGAAACTTAATTATTGGTCTCTCCTCCTATTATATCTTTTTGTTGTTTCTAAGGCATTACAATAGCCAATCATTTATTGAGGGGTAAATCCAATATTTTGACTTTGACTATTGGAAGGAGTCGTCCATTTTTAAGGGGTAAACATAATATTTTAATTTTAACTATTATAGGAACTTTTTTTATCTTTAGTGAGTAAGACTCTTAAATCATAATATAATTTAATATTAAGAAAATCATAATATAATACATAATATATTAAATTTTTTTTATCTGCACACTCTTTATCTTCTGTCCCATATTGCATTGCACATGGAAACAATGACATATAGCATAAAACAAACAACATGTGCAAAGTGGATTTTAATTGGACAAATAAAATAAAGTTTTTGAGGATAATTCCTCGCTAAAAATACTAAATTGACAATGATGATGATTATAACAATGGCTATGAGAACATTAATCTCAGGAATTATGGATTTAATTGTTCTTGGCTTCTTTAATTTCTATAATCTATTATGCATAAGCCTCTAAACACATGAACTTTTCTAAACAGTATAAATCATAATATACATCGAGGCATAAGTGGATTGCATCTTCAATGGGGAGCAAAAGCTAACAAAAATATGGCACAATCCAAGTCAATAATTTGAGGGACCCATCAACAGTTGATCTCTATATGTTTGGTTAAGAATTGAAGATATGATCGAAGGCCTAATTTGTGTGACCATATAAGTCCAAGAAAAATGATCACTTTCAGTACAGAATTAATATGATTAAAATTATTCTCTTCCTGCAAAGTTTGTTGTACAAAATAATTTGGGGGAAGACTTTTGCTGAATATTAGAGCATGTCCTTTTCAAATATGAAAAGAAATTAAAAATATTATTAGAAAATTATTTTTAGAGATATTTCATATTTTTATTTTATATAATTTATTTATTAATATATGAAAACTTTACTATTAATAGTCAGGACTTCTTACAGACTAGCTAGCATCGTCATATATAAATATATTTTTCATATCTCAGTAAATCTTTGGAAGACAGAAATATTTTACTCTTATTTTTTATTTTGGTAAAGAGGGGGGTATTATTGTCTTCCTCAGAGTAGATATACGATTTGCGGGTCAATGGGACTCCACGTTTATCTCGCGGCTCGGTATCAGATGGACTAGGAGATATACGGACACTCTTAACGAGGACTCTCATGACGGCGCACGTCGAGCATGTATAAGGAAAAATGATTCGTCGTCGGCTTAGACGGATACGTGTCACGGTATGGTTGGTGATATTTAAATATTCGTGTGTGGGTAGGATATAGGAGAAGGTCTCCTGCTGTGCCGATTGGAACAGCCACGGTGGTCCTTTCGTTGTAACAACAACGGGGGTTAAACGAGGAAGTGCGCTATGCATGATGCTTATCCAGACGCCCTGCCCTCTGTATGAGCTCAGTGTTCTTTTTAAGGAGTACCAGTGAAGAGCTGCTCATCACCGGCCAGTGGTTTTCCCTGTAGACTCCCACGCCACCCCTCTCTCTCTCTGGTCCACTGAACAGTAGTAGACATGTCCCTGCTGTTGAACTCTAGCTTCACCGGTGCTTCCTCTGCATGCCTCCTCCAACGGGAAAGGTCCCGCCGCCGCCGCCTCCACGTCCCTGGCGTGACATGCCGCCAGGGCAGTAATGGTGACCGCAGCGATGCCGCCCGCCAGCAGCAGTCGCCGCCGCTGCTGGATCGGCGCGACATGCTGTTGGGTTTAGGAGGGCTTTACGGCGTGACCGCAGGACCCAAGGTTCTGGCGGCGCCGATAATGCCGCCGGATCTGTCCAAGTGCTACCCTGCCACCGCACCTGCCCTCGACAACAAATGCTGCCCGCCTTACGACCCCGGCGAGACGATCTCGGAGTACAGCTTCCCCGCTACGCCCCTCCGGGTGCGGCGGCCGGCCCATATCGTGAAGGACGATCAGGAGTATATGGACAAGTACAAGGAGGCAGTGAGGAGGATGAAGAATCTGCCGGCAGACCACCCTTGGAACTACTACCAGCAGGCGAACATCCACTGCCAGTATTGCAACTACGCCTACCACCAGCAAAATACCGACGACGTGCCCATCCAGGTCCACTTCAGCTGGATCTTCCTCCCATGGCACCGCTACTACCTCCACTTCTACGAAAGGATCCTCGGCAAGCTCATCGACGACGACACCTTCACCATCCCATTCTGGAACTGGGACACCAAGGACGGCATGACGTTCCCCGCCATCTTCCAGGATGCGGCATCCCCGCTGTACGACCCGAAACGCGACCAACGCCACGTCAAGGACGGCAAGATCCTCGACCTCAAGTACGCCTACACCGAAAACACTGCATCCGACAGCGAGATCATACGGGAGAACCTCTGCTTCATACAGAAGACGTTCAAGCACAGCCTGTCGCTGGCGGAACTGTTCATGGGGGATCCCGTGCGCGCGGGGGAGAAGGAGATCCAGGAGGCTAATGGGCAGATGGAAGTCATCCACAATGCGGCGCACATGTGGGTCGGAGAGCCGGACGGATACAAGGAAAACATGGGGGACTTCTCCACCGCCGCCCGCGATTCTGTTTTCTTCTGCCACCATTGCAATGTCGACCGCATGTGGGACATCTACCGCAACCTCCGCGGCAACCGCGTCGAGTTCGAAGACAACGACTGGTTGGACAGCACCTTCCTCTTCCACGACGAGAACGAACAGCTCGTCAAAGTCAAGGCAAGTCAGATGCTGTCTGCAATTTATACCCATCCCTGCAAATGCAATAGAAACGTTGTATACATAACTGTCGTATACCGTGCAGATGAGCGACTGCCTCAACCCGACCAAGCTTCGGTACACGTTCGAACAAGTTCCCCTCCCATGGCTGGGCAAAATCAATTGCCAGAAGACGGCAGAGACGAAGTCCAAGGCCACGACGGAGCTGTCGCTGACGCGCGTGAACGAATTCGGGACGACGGCCCAGGCACTCGACGCGAGCAACCCGCTGCGGGTGATCGTGGCAAGGCCGAAGAAGAACCGCAAGAAGAAGGAGAAGCAAGAGAAGGTGGAGGTGATTCAGATCAAGGATATTCAGGTGACCACCAACGAGACAGCTCGCTTCGACGTCTACGTCGCGGTTCCTTACGGTGACCTCGCCGGACCCGACTACGGCGAGTTCGCGGGCAGCTACGTGAGGCTGGCGCATAGGATGAAGGGAAGCGACGGGACCGCAGAGCAGGTCCCCAAGAAGAAGGGAAAGCTCAAGCTGGGTATTACGCCGCTGCTCGAGGACATCGATGCTGAGGACGCCGACAAGTTGGTGGTCACCCTGGTTCTCCGCACCGGGAGCGTCACCGTGGGCGGAGTTTCCATCAATCTCCTGCAGACAGATTCTACCGCCGCCATCTAAATGATGGCCTCGGATCACAGCTTCTCCCCGCTTAAGTTGGAGTGATCGATTACTGGTGCTGCTTCCTTCCTCCCTGTCGTTGTTGCTATCTTCTTGATCTGGAACGATCCTTCAATAATTAGGGCATGACAGTAGTCGTCGCCCGATCCCATATGTACGTGTTGCTGTCAACAGCTGTACATGTGACGTTGTGGTGTGACTATATATTTTATTGCGGTCATCGTTGTTTCTTTCTTACTTATGGCTTCTTACATCAAATTGTTTTCATTTGAATTATCCTAAGAATATCTTATATATAATAACATATATAAAATCAAACTATTTCTCAATTTAATAGAAGTCCTAAATCGTCAAAACAACCGTAAAATGAAAAGATACACATCTCAAACCCAATTTGGCACGTTCATGTGTAAAAGTTACTCTTACCCAACCCGAACAAAGGAGAGGCTAAACAAATGAAACCCAAAGCCCCTAAACAAGAGAATAAATAATTTTGAATTTTCATCTTTCAATAAGCTCTTAATTTATTATTTTTTAATTGTAAAATGTATTGTTGTTTAAGGAATTTTCTATCACCGAGCTATATAGCTCGTGAGACTACCACGTAGCACTTCAAATGCATGACCGAGTTGGTAAGAAATACTACAGTAGCTAGTAACATGGAACAGTGAATATAATAAATCCTACATCATCCGAACTCGTACAAGTGATAACTTGGAGTAAGGTATCTTTGACTAGTCAAACTCAAGTTAATGAATCAACTGTCCTTTTCAAACTGAATAATGACTGAATACTGATCAATATCCATCGATATTTTAAACTGTTCAATGATGACATAAATTATTATTTTTTGAACGGATATAAAATAAAATATTATTACTAGAAAAGATTCTAGTAAAGTAAGTGAGGACGATGGAAATTAACGAGGAAAATTTTTTTATAATACTTCAAGATATTATTTTTTTTTTAATAATTTTATAGATTTAGAGAAGACTTTTATTTGTATTAGTTCTAAGGCTTAAAAATTAGATTGCTAAAAATGTGAGATAAATAAAAATAATAAGTATATAACTTTTAGGTTCTTTTAGAATAGTTTTCTTTTGCTTGTTTATGTTTGAATATAATGAATTTTCACTTAGAAAATAGTTATATAAATTTACAACATTGAATGTCCTTGAGATCTCCAAATCATTTAGTAAAACAATTATATAGATATTATTATTAAATTTCTTTAAGACCTTGTAAGGACAAAATTTCTTCGGCTCAATTTATTGCAAGTGCATACAAGAAATCTCTCTTTTTCGCAAGTAGACTATAACTATATCTTTTTCATTGAATATATTCTCTCCCCTGTGTTTATCAGCTACTTTCTTATATTAAGGACTAGTCGCTTTCAAGTTCTTCACTTAATCTTGGGTTGATTGTACTTACTAAGTCATGTTATTAGCTGCTATACTCATTCTAAGAGTATTTGATAGGTGAATTAAATCGAAAGCATGTTTTGGTATTTTCTTGTAAACAATAAAGAATAGTAATGCTCCGGTAAAACTATGAATTGTGCTGTTATAGGTAAATTCAATTTGTGAGAATGCAAAATCTTATTGCCTTAGTTTGTTATCACAAATGCAATGAATCAAGTCTCCTGGAGTTTTATTAGTTATCTTCGTTTAATCTTGAGTTTGTGTGTGAGCTCTGTTGCTAAACTTCAAACTTGCATCAAATCTTTTTCATAAGATCAACCAAAAATGAGATAAAAATTTACATTATCTATTAGAAGTAATTGATTGAATTTATTATCCTATATATGCACATGATTTTTCGAAAGAATAGTTTGGTAATATCTTATTACATTTAAAGACTTCCGATATAGTATGGAATGAACCATCTTCGAGAACTGATCCAACATATCTTTTGATTGATGTATGAGAAAGCGATACATGATTGTGATTTCATTGATAACTCTGCTATCCATGTACATCATCTAACTTCTATCTTTCTTGAGCTTTAACAAAATCGGAATATCACATGAACTCATGCTTTCTCGAATATATCCCTTCTAAATAAACTCTTCAACCTTCTATTTGGTAGTAGGACAAATTTGGTTAACTTACTCCTGGAGCAAAATCAATTTGATGCTAAATATCTTTTATGAGTGAAACTCTATATGGTAACTTGGATGATCTCTTTGAATTTTTTCAATATCAATCTTAGTTAATTTAGAGTCTTTACTTTAGGTGACTTTTCTAGCATACCATGTTCTTGTTTCACTTGAACAGATGATAATGAATTCTCACACAAAATTAAAAATTAATTAAAAAACTTATTCTCCACTTTCGATAATCTTTTCTCAAAGTTTCATGGCTCATTGTTTAATTCCTCTATAATTTGAATAAATTTACATGTAATCTTTATTTTTATAAGGTGATACTAAAAAATAATTTTTCTTTTCATTAGATTTTTTTGAACCTCATGATTTTGTTAAATACGCTAATTAACGAAGCTGCTCCCTTATCTCCTAAATTTTTTAAAACTTTAATAAATAGAGATACCAACATGCTCCACATTCTTAGTTATTTTTATTTTCTTTAATATATCTTTTACATCATTAGATTTAATTTTATGAACAAATCTATTATTATTAAATTTATCACTATTATTTATCATCCTAGTGAAATATTAATAAAATAATTAATAAAAATATTTTTATTTTTAAAATATCATTATCGTTAATAAGTATTCTTTGATTTTTATCTTTAATGCATCTAATATTATATAAATAATTTAATTTCCTTCTCTAGCCTTAGTAATTCAATATATCTTTTTCGTCATCTTTAATATCTAATTTATTAAAAAAATTATCATAAGGTTTATTTCTTACCATACTAAACATTTTTAGTCTTTTCTTATTTTTACATATTTTTTATATTTTTATTTTTATAATTTTATTTTATTTTCAAAATATAATTATTTTTTATTTTTTGAACTTCCTAACACCATCACAAACTCTATCTTAAAGTTACGCTTCTACTCTTAGTTTCACTAAGAATTTTCTTTATTAAATTTATAATTTTATTAGCCATTATATTCCAAATAATATTAATATTATCCTTATGTAAATTTCAAATCATCTTCTTTTTTATCGTATTTTTAAAAGTGTTTACATTATCTTTTAAAAAATTTCACCATCTACCCCTAGTAAATTCTTTTACTATCTTTTTTTTTTCTTTCTTTATAGCAAATATATGATACCATCAACTTATATTGATTCATCAAACTTTTATCAAGTAAAATTTTATAATTATTGAAAATAATTTTATCTATCATTCTAGTGAAAAAAAATCTATTTTATCACAACTACTCCTATAAGTAATCAAATATTCATCTCTTTTTCTAAAGTAAGTATTTATAATTATAACATATGAATCTACAAATTTTAAAATGATATAATCATCTTCATTTTTCTCCCCGTGACTAAGGCCTCCATGCATTTCTTTATGTTCACTATATGTTTTATTTGCTGGTGACATGTTACTGGCAGCACGACGGTGGACCAACGCAATGGGTCCCATCTTTCAAATAATTTATCAGTCACCGTGGATCACGTGGAAGCACAGCGAATGTGATTGAGCCTCTCGAAGTAGTGTTTCCTTTCTTCTTTCTTTTTATTTTTTACCCTCTCATGAGGATTCGTGCATCACGTTTTGGAATAAGAAAATAATGGAGAACAATAATTAAACAAGGTCGGTGATATTGTTGTCCTTTTATATCTAAATTCAAGACATTTTTGTCCTTCATATAGATGATGCAAAGGTCGGTGATATTGTTGTCCTTTTACATCTAAATTCAAGACATTTTTGTCCTTCATATAGATGATGCAAAGATTTTTTTTTTTTTAACCACAGCGATCGAAGACGAAAGGATAAATTCTCAAAAAAAAATCTTATATTTGAAAGTTTTTCGTAGAGCTCCTTTGCGAGCACGAAAAGATTATTTTATCCTTGTCTATCTCTACCTTACCTCTTCTTCCTTCTATCAAGGATGAGAATAAGATAGGGAGTCGTGAGCGAAGGTAAGCCCTTGGCCACTTATGTTTTTAGGCACTAGTTGATTTGTGCACATGATCATGTTTCTATCTTGTCAGTTGGCTCACTCTATCTCATTGGATGTGAAGGTTGTCGATGAGGAAGGATAAGATTGTGATCGCATAAGTAAGGGCGAGGTCGACGAGGAGGAGAGTTTCGAGCATCAAAGGCCAATAACCGCTTGTGGGGTCCGATGAGAATGGTGATGTTGGGCGAAGACAATGATTG